GCGTGCGTGCGTGTGTGTGTGTGCATGCGTGGCGCTGTGTGAGTGCGCCTGTGTTCGTATTTCCTATTAGCGCTGGTCCACTGCATTCTCTTCCGTAGGATCGCTGCGTCGGTGTTCGGTTCTCGTAAATACTCGGAGGCGGACGATGCTTCCTTGCGATTATTATGGGCCAGTGCTTCAAACCCCGCAATAAACAGACGAAGCTCCGTCACACAAACAACATATTTTGGCGGGAACACGTGCGGGCTGCTCGACCGCATAAACCCTGACTTGTAACACGGAGGCGGCACGCAATGAATGTCATTATCAAGGCAGGAGATTGAAGCGGCGAACAAGCTGGTAGCCAGCTGGGTTTCTCACTAGATATATAGAGAGAGGAAGAGAGAGATGGGAGGGAGAAGGGATTATATATATATATATATATATATATATATTATATAATAGAGAGAGAGAGAGAGAGAAGAGAGAGAGAGAGAGAGAGAGAGAGAGACTATAACAGATAGATAGATGGGCTAGATAGATAGATAAATAGATGGATAGATAGATAGATAGATAGATAGATAGGATAGATAGATAAGTAGATAGATAGATAGATAGATAGATAGATAGATAGATAGATAGATAGATAGATAGTAGATTAGATAGATAGATAGATAGATAGATAGATAGATAGATAGATAGATAGATAGATAGATAGATAGATAGATAGATAGATAGGATAGATAGATAGATAGATAGATAGATAGATAGATAGATAGCATAGATAGATAGATAGATAGATAGAGAGGGAGATATAGATACAGAGAAAGAGAGATAGAGAGCGAGAGCCTTAGACAGAGACAGGGCGAGAGAGCGAGAGCGTGCGAAATACAGCGAAACAGAGTGCGGACGAGAGCCGGAGAGAGTGAGAGAGCGTAACCGAGAGAAGGGGAAGGATGGGAGAAAGCTGCCGAGCCGCCTATAGCTGCCTCAGGCTTACATCTACACCGCCGGGTCCAACACCGATGGATCGAACAAATGGGTGATTTATTCTCCTTCGTTTTTTTCTCTCTCCGTTATTTATTCGACGCGCCGCTTAGAAGTTATCAAAATATTTGCGGCAAAAGGGCAAAAAATGAGGCAGAGACGTAAACAAGCGCGGGGCAAAAATGTAAGGTGATCTTTAATCCGAATACGGCAGCGCGCTGAAAACAAGACAAGCGTAAATGTCTGCGGTAAAATGTGAACATGTACCGGGAATCGCGTATCGGGGTCGGGCGCGCGGTGTCGGGGGTCGCGTATATTTATATAGAACGACGTGAGAAGATTCAACACGAAGCGATCCCCACCTACGATTTTAACTAGTATCATGTCTCGCCGTAGCCGGCCGCGGGTTAAATAAGTTTACGAATGGGTTACTACGTGGTATAGTAACAAGCTAGTTTTTGTTATATAATGTGTCGTGAGATTCACTCCGCTCTCTATAAGGCCAACCGCAGTCCGAGAGTGAACGAAGTGTTACGTGGGTGGGAACCGATCTATAGTCTCCTATATGGGTCCTACGGTTATTAGTAAGAGGGGTATAGTGAATGGGGAAATTTTTTTTAAATACAAATTTTTTATTTTTTTATTTAAAATTTAAAATTTAAAATTTTAATTTAATTTTTTTTAATTTTTAATTTTTAATTTAATTTTAATTTTTTTATTATAATTAAAATTTTGTTTAAATTATTATTTTTTTTTTTTAAATTATGGCTATGCCATTCATTTGTTTATGCAATGCATTGCCATGCACTATGGCCATGTATTTGTTTAACGCTTTATAGGTTTCACGTTAACCATGTACGCGCATGTATATTAAACTCAAGTTTATTACTTATTATTGCTGCTGAAGGGGTTGAATTGCGATTGATGATTGATTGAAATATCGCGCCTGCATGTGTGCCTGCGTGCACCGTAGGACCAATTACCCGTAGGACTATTCAAAATACTGTTTACAATACAATAATACAATAAAGTGAATAACGAGAGATATAATCCTGAGAGTCAATAAAGAATTACTACGTAGCCATACAATCAAAGCTAGTGATTGTTGTAGCGCATCACTATATGGGCAGACCGCAGTCTGAGAATGAATGAAGGCTGAATTTACTACATGGGCATAGTTATTACTATGCAAATGAGTGAATACCTAAAACTAGTGTTTTATTCATACGGCGTGTGTGTAGCCGTTTGTAACGTAGATGTGGACAAGATGAGAAACCGATCACGTGAGAGAGCGCAATAATGTGAGAGAAAAAGAGTAAGAGAGAAGGTGGGGAGAGAAACAGGGAGGGATATATATTATAGTATATATTATATGAATAGAGAGAGAGAGGGAGAGAGAAGAGAGAGAGGAAGTATGCGAGAGAGAGAGAGAAGGGATATATAGATGAATATGAAAGAGAGAGAGGGGGAGAGGAAGTAAGAGAGAGAGAGAGAGAGAGAGAGAGAGAGAGAGAGAGAGAGAGAGAGAGGACGCGAGAGAGAGAGAGAGAGGAGAGGGAAAGAGAGAGCAGGAGGAGAGCACGAGATGAGATATGAGAGATGAGAGAGCAGCAGTCGCAAAGCCAACAACCGATCGAATGCGAATAGCTTGTTGACTATATGGCTACTAGGTAGTTCTTTCATTGACGCGCGATCTCCGCTGTCTATAGAGCTAGGTTGCCCAACTCCTACTGCGTAACTAGTTTTGTTATTCACATTCGTCTGCGAGACTTAATATTCAGTTCGTATCTCGTTATAAAGCCCAGACTATTTGACTATGGGAGGACCATACCACGCGTCACCAATTGGAATCGCCTACAACGTGTGCACGCCAGGCGACACATCGAGCACTTGCATCGCGGTAGCAGATACACGTATATTCTCAAGTACCGAAATTCATCATCGATGCTTTCCACACTCCCAGTCGACATGCACCACTGGGCTGGGCAGAGGGGAGCGCCTCAGTGCTCTTATTCAGCAGCAATAATAAGTAATAACCTTGAGTTTATATACATGCGCGTACATGGATTAACGGTCGACGCAACCTCAACTATGACACAAGCAGGAGAGGCAGGCGAGGAGTGTTTGTGCATGTCGCCACCAATCATCTCTCAAAGCAACGACGTCGGCGTGAAGACACGACTGGAATGGCGCGCCTATTACCGAATGAGTGGATATGACATGTGATGCAGATCGCGTGCTACAGGTGATTGCGATTGACGCGCAAGAGCAATGCAAGGTGGCTGTGATGTGTCGATGATGATGTAGATGTGTGTGTAGCCTGTTTGAATGAGTAGAGATAAAAAATATAAATTTGATGATACAGTAAATTGTTTGTTGAATGTTTGATATGTGATATTGTGATGTGAAGAATGTTGAATATAATTGATGATTGTGAATGAGTATGTTTAGAGATGTGAAGTTGATGTGAGTGTAGTATAGAGTTAAATTAGATAAGTTGTTTGTGTGAATTGTTGTGTAATAGTATTGGTGTGTTAATTGCTGTGTGTATTGTGTATAAATGTTATGATCGAATAATAATGTGTTGTTGGGTATTGTTAATCTGAGAGGTTTGGGACGGGGGGGGGTGGTGGGTGTGGTGTATGTCCCATTCTCATGATATGTCGTCTGCTTCTTACTAGATAACTGGAGGGTAGGATCCCATGATAGGTAGGACTATAGGATGGTTTCTCGTAGCCGGGCACGAAAACTTCGTCAACGTGTGTCGGGAGGTCTCGGACTGGCGGTGGGGGCCTTAGTCATGAGCTGTGCTGCGGGGAGTGCAGTGCGCGCGGTACGAACTACTCTACTCTTGTCTCCTATAAACCCAAAAATCACTTGTGTGTTACCATGACGCTCCCCACGTAGTAACCCATTCGTAAACTTATTTAATCCGCCCGTCTCTCTCATTTTTCGCCGCCCGGCGTGGCCGTAGCGTACGGCTACGATGGATGCTCGCGTGTGACGACGAGCATTGTGTGTTTAATGTTTTTTAAGCGTGTTTGCATGCGGTGTATAGCGTAATAAGTATCGATGAGTATCATCATGTCATTTGATTTTGAGTGTAAAGCGTCGTTCTATTAATTAGTTTACGAGTTAAACACTTAAGTAACCCTGATTGACCCGTAAAAGCTCTCTCACCATTCCAGTACTCACCCCCATATCATTACACGGCGGCGGCCTCGGTGGACCGGAATCCGGATACTGCTCGTCGTACATGTTTACCATTATTTCATATTACGCGTGTGAGGAGGGTCAAACGCATTACTGCGCTTTGGTCTGTTTATGAAAATAGAATAGACATAATTCATCTATGCTCTGAGCCGCGGTTCACGGGATAAAGATTAATTTCGTTACAATCTAGTATATTTTGCACCACCATATTCTATCGAGTGTTATTAATTACTTTGAGCTTTCATTTTAGCCCTTATTTTGTCACTAGAAAATATTTATGATAACTTCTAAGCGGTACGCTAGTTTCAGAGTGAGATATAAAACAATACATTACGTCACGTGTAGAATATAACGTTAAAGTATAAACTGTAATATAGATAAAAATAATTCACTCTTCTAACATTACGTTAGTTTCATGTTTATCGATATACACGTTACGTTGATTCGGATTATCGTTACGCTTAGTGTATCGTTAGGTTGTAGATGTTGAAGCGGCTGACGTTAACACTTAATTATTACCTCCATGCGTGGAGCGCTCCCGTGTCGGCATAGTTTTACTATCCTTTCCTTTCCTCCAAGACTATGTTTCTGCTGGCATCGCCAATATTCAGTTGCTGGCGCTATTAAGTATGTCTGTTAACTGTACGTTCTGTCTTCTCCATAGCTCGCATCCTGCGCGGCACTGCACGCCCGCATTGTCCGTGCGTACAGTCGCGGGACATCTTCGATCATACCTATATTCGGAATATTGTTCTAGGTCTCCCGCGCCATAGCTGAGTAACAGTACGTCGCCGTACCGAATGAGAGCACTCGCACTCGTCGAGCCTGCCGACTTCCGGTTCCGGATCGACGCAGCGCATCTGCGACACAAAACGGACGTCTTCTTCGCCGTCAGTTTCGCGTTCGCTCACCGGCCATCCCCGAAACGCCATCCCGCCACGCTGTGGGCGAACCTGACGAAACTAAGCGGGTGTTGTCCCTACCGGTTTGCCATTCATGGTCGGTTTGCCCGAGCAGGAAGAGCAGGCAGAGCGCGATTAGAGAGGAGAGTGGCGAAAAGGCAGATCATCTGTGCAGGGCGCGTTCGTCGACACCCGTCTACTCGAATCTCACTACAAACAGGCATCATGCTTCGGTCGGGCCCTGTCTCGTGTTACGAGGGCTCTTCGCTTCCTTAAACTCGATCTCTTGCCCGTTCAAACTATGATCTTCTCATACTCTAACCGCGTTTATACACAAACTACTATCAATGACGATGCTAGCGAAAAAGTCATGCTAATGACTGACTATCTAAGTATTATCTATTATCTATCAATGATCTATTAACTATCATCTATATATATCTATTCTATCTATGCTATCGTATCTGACCCTACAGACGCTAGCGCTCACATGATATGTCGTTATCTGTTAGGTCTGAGTATATTCCTAAAGTAGAAAAAGTTATGTCGATCCTATCGTATATATCCGCGTACACTTAGCACAGATGATTTCTCCCTTAATTTCGCAAGTCTCCTACCTTTGTATATCCTGAGTCGCTCTGCCTGCACTCATCTATTATTCTTACCTACCATCTGCTCGGCAACCCCGATATATATAGTAAGTGAACCCCGTATAGGACATACACCCATCCGCTTAGTTTTCGTTCAGGATCGCACCAGTCTAGTGGCGCTGGCATTGGCGTTTTTCGGGATTGCCGGTGATCCGAATCGCCTGAACTGACGCGAGAAGACTTTCTCCGGTTTTCCCGCTGTCTGTTAGACTGCTTGCCTTGCCCGTTGTATCCCCGGATAACCGGAAGTCGGGCAGTGGTCGACGAGTCGATCGTGTATTCGACGCGACGTCGTTTCTTAATGGCGGCTGGCTAGCAATATTGCAATCATAGATGATGCGAAGATCTCCCCCACTGTACGCGGCAACTGGGCGTGCGTGCGCGCGGTAATCGCCTAGAAACAGAAACGTCACCGTGAAACTATACTAATACGCAGAACTATATATGCATCCAGCAGCAACATAGTCTTGGTATACTAATGCAACGGACCGTACTGGGAGTAAATTCAATGTAACGGTTGTCGCGCGCTTCTTAACGATAACTCAACTTAACGTAATTCGTACATGTTCATTCGTATATTTAACTAATCTGTAAAACGTATAGGTAACGATCTGTACTACTTCAATGTATACGTAACGTAATGTTAAAACGTATGTAATTTGTAATTCTATAATATATATTAATATAATATATATCTACTATACTATTTTATACTATATATATGTGTGTGTATACTCAATGTCCACGTAAGGTAAATCATAATCGATAACTGCTATGCCCTTTTTCGTAACGTTCAACGTACGTTCCAATTGTAAGCGTAATACGATGTATACCCAACATATCGATAACGTAAGTGGTATGTATGACCGTGGCCCTAATGTAACTCTACGTAGATTAGTACTGTAGGTGTCAACTAATTTTTACTGGGTAGCACTGAAAATAGATGAATGTTATACTATTTTAACGTATAAGGCACGTGAACAATAATAGCTTAAGACATTGCGAATACACTTTACATACTGCGCAGCTTACCGACCATCATGCTTGCGCCTCCGTTATAAATTTCAGGTATAGCGGTCGAGCACCGCAAGTCCGCAAAATATTTGTTGTGTGAGGATGCTCGTCTGTTTAGGTTGCGAGTGGCCTCAACACTGCAAGGAACACTGTTGACCAATGCGCACGCACGGTTCTATCGTAACTACGAACGCGAACACAACGCGGAGGAGAAAAATAACGAGAGCGGAAGCGAGAGCGCGCAAAGAGGGGGAGAGAGAGATATCTCGCACGCGAGACCAGGGTTACGGGGCGAGCATCCCGGACGGCTCTCGGCCTCCACACACCGCATCAGGGCCAGGCCCCCCTCCAGACACACACCCCACAGACGACATACACACAGCACGCTTGCCACCACCCGTGGGCACACACAATACACACACACCGCCACACACCACCACCCCCCCCGCACACTCACACGTCAACACACAAATGAGCCACACATACAACACACAAAACAACACAAGACCACACCACCACCCCACCCAACACACACACACCACACACTACACACACAAGCAACACACACACCAGCACACAACCACACCACAGACAACTCACACACACTCCACCCACAAGCCACACAACACACCACACCCACCAAACACACAGCTGGCAGGAGCCGCACAAACACACAACACACAAACACATCACGAAACACACACACACGACGTCACACAGGCAAGCACGTGGCACGGGCCGGCCGAACTACCAGATTCACATACACACAACCACACGCATGCAACAACACACCCAACACACACACACCCACGCTACCACCAGCTAACAACACACCCGCGCATCCCGCGACAACACTCACCGCAGACGCGCGCGCGCAGCACGGCCAACTAGGGTCACGGGCGTAAAATGCGCACATTAGCACGTACAGGCGCCTCTTCCCACGTGCGCAACCATACCAAAGACACCGTAAATACCGACTGTCACAAATATCTAAACACACTATCATTCTGTCAGCAATCAACCAATGATTCAATATGTTTTTTTAATATCATACTGTATGGGGGAAAAGATAAGCTAGTACCTGACGTAGGGGACGCCGGTTAGACAGTCTATCAGAGATTGAGCCGCGCTGTGAGAGACGAGAGAGAGAGAGAGAGAGAGAGGAGAAAGAAAGAGAAGAGAGAGAGAAAGAAGAGAGAGAGAGAAAAAGAAAGAGAGGAATAAAGAAAGCGAAGAGAGAGAAGGAGAGAGGAGCGAGAGGAGCGAGACGTTAGCAGACGCTACGGATAGAAAAGATATTAGCCCATAGATTTTATTAGGTAATAACAAATTCTAATTCATCCGCCAACACAATATTTGATATCATTATCGGTTACATATAATTTCCTTCTTACATTTCACACTACTAATCATTGTATAGCCG